AGTCGGGATTAAAAAAAAGTATAGGTGGCCCTTCAGCGCCTTCGTAGGGATCGAATTATCAAATTTAAATCGATTTAATTTCATAATGAGCATCATTTGAAATGCAGGTTTATTCATTATCAAACCTAAATACAAAACCTAAAGAAACATTGGTACATCAACAAATTCATAAAATTGTCGGTCGCCGAAAAAGTATTGAAAATGTGTTCCAATTTTATAAAAAAATCGATCAAATGAGTTTAAATTATTATAGATCAAATAACAACCCTATCATTCAGGTAATTTCGCTTGTATTGGTCAGATTTTTTCCTCTTCAATACAGTGGCACTCATGTTTTTCTTGTTTTTTTGACTTCTCGTGGTACCAATTCCACCAGATCCGTTGCGTTCTCCTTTTTCAATACAAGAATAAGTGGAAGGCGTATATTTCTCAGTCCTTCAGCAGGTGTGATTGTAAAAATGTTCATGGAAGGAAATTTATATATCTCACAAGTAAAACGTTATAGATTGTCGATAAAGGGTGTTCTAAAATGTGAGGCATCTTTCAAAACCCAAAAATCGCCCAAATAAAAGAAACGAAGTTCAAAAACTCATCGCTAAAATTCAGCCATAGTTTCGAAAAACCGGTTGTTACCAATCTTTTTATAATCTTCAAGATGCGTTTGCACTTCCTCAACCGAACGCATCTCAACAAGTCATCGTAAACGCGCGCCACTTTTTAACAAACATAAATTCATCATAGCAAGTAAACACAAAGAAGGTATAATTATGTGATTACATTCATGATTACACTGTATGGCGTTCAGACTCTGAAAGTCGTGTAGCGGATAATTAATAATCACACCGGAGCGATCATGGCAGATCCGTATTAGGAATCACTAAAATATGCAATTGTTAATAACTCCGCTATTTTACAACTTATATACAGGGTATGTCACGACGAGCTTACACTATCTTTATATCGAGAATCAGTTACAAGAAATGTATGAAAATGTGCACGCTTATATTTGGGTTTATGCTCTCTTCGTTTAAAAGATTGTCGACAAGGCAGTGTGCCGCTTCTACTAGAAAGTAGTAGCAACTTTGATATTTCAAATGGAACACCCTGTATTTGCATTTTTAGTTTCTCCTTGAAGAGCTGATTTCATCAATGCATTACACTTGGGGTCTAGCGGGAATGATAACAGAGATATACAGGATATAGGGTGTTCAAACTCGAAAGATTGATCAGAATTCTGAATCTTGAACCACCCTGTATTTGTCCAATTAAATGTCAGTAGAAAGTGAATCAAAAGTTGAACATGAAAGCCGTTTTGACCGATAATCCCTGAAACTGAAAAATTCCGATTTTGAACACCCTATATCTCTGTAATCATTCCTGCTAGACCCCAAGTGTGATTGATTGATTGATGAAATCAGCTCTTCATTTATTTTCTTAAAATGCAATGAAATATAGAGTGTTCCATTTGAAATATCGAAGTTCCCATACTAGTTTCTAGTAGAATCGGAAACACTGCATTGCCGAAAATATTTTAAAGAAAGAAAGCTCAATCTTCATTTTCATGAATTTCTTGCGACTGATTCTCGATATAGAGATAGTGTAAGCTATGCGGCTTTTTGTGAAATGATTTACTTTGTTCATGGACTCTTCATCCTTTGAACTATTAAATAATATAAAGATTATGTATTCCTCATTTTTCTCGTAGAATGTTTTGATGGAACTATCGCATAAGCCGCTTTTTTTTTCTCATCCTGTCCACATTTTTCGACAAGGATTCGATGATGAAAAACCTTCGTTCGAAATTTCCTTGGACAACCTTCTTTCCATGAAATATATCATGCAAAATGGTGTGAAGGATAGCCCCAGTGGAAGAATTCAGTTCTTCAGAAAGTTTACTACTTCCATTTTTTGTAATCCTTTCAACTCTAGTTAGCCTTTCGATTCTTTCTTGATTGTTCAGAGCTGTACTCTTATCTATCCAAATTACTGTCCACAGATTTCACCTTGTTGATTCTATCATTAGCTTTCATGTTTCACTTCAAGGAACAAACCCAAATATATTGTGATATTTTCGAAATAGTGATATACACCGTGTCCCAGCTAAAATGTTCTCCCCTGTAAAAAATCTGCGCGATCGAATGAGTTGAAATTTGGTCACCCAGTATATTTGATGATGCTCACTCGAAATATGCTATTGAATAAATCGTAGGTATACAGGGTCACACCAAAGTGCACCTCAACTTTCTTATTTGAATAGGGACACCCAGTATATTATTCCATATTCAAGTAGAGTACATTATTCCATATTCAAGTAGAGTACATTATTACAAATTCAACAATGCCGGGTTCGATGGGATTGTTTCAAACGACTACGAAGATATGGCAACAAATAAAACGATGCAATAAAAAATTTATTTGACTAGATATTATCAATATAACACGATTGAAATCGAATGAACAGAAAATAATTTAAATCTAATAACCACCAATTGTCTCGATGGTGATAGCAACTGGTCAGCTCGGTCGCCAGACCTCACCCCGCTTGATTTTTATTTGTGGGGCTACTTGAAACAACAGGTTTATGAGTCGCCATTTGTGAATATGGAAGAAATGAAAGAAAAAATCACAAATTTATACGCACAAATTTATCGCAACGTGATACATAGGGTCACAATGATGAACGTTATCAAAAGAGCTAGGAAATGTTTGCAGCAGAATGGACGACATAATGAGAAGTTAAGGTTTGAATTATTATCTTTTCATTGGATTTGAATCGTGTTATATTATTAATAAAATCGAATCATATAAATTTTTTATTGAATCGTTTTATTTGTTGTCATATCTTCGTAGTCGTTTGAAAAAAAAAATCGCATCAAACCCGGCATTGTTGAATTTGTAATAATGAACTCTACTTGAATATGGAATAATATACTGGGTGTCCCTATTCAAATCGAAAAGTTTAGGTGCAGTTCGGTGTGACCCTGTATACCTACGATTCATTCAATAGCATATTTCGAGTGAACATCATCAAATATACTGGGTGGCCGAATTTCATGTCATTCGATCGCGCGGTTAATATTTCACATGGGGGGACATTTTAGCTGGGACACGGTGTATATCTTGTGAGGGTATAGCTTTGAAGGTCTCATAGTAGTATGCTAAATCATTAATATACAAGGTGTTATTGAAATAAGTGCACATATTAAGCATATTAATATGATACAGTCTTAGGAATATTCCGATATCAGATTTTTTCTAATTCTTCTAATTGACGAGATATTTCATCCCAAAAATTTAATAAAATACGAGAAGAAAATTAAGTACGCCATTTTAAAACAATTTAAATGATTGTACTCCGCGTGATTGTGCCTACCGCATGGAAATTTGAACAGAGGTGATGTCCGATTTGCTACAGTGTAAAACTTTGGGTGGAAAAAGGGATCTAACCTCAAATTTCATTTTGATCCTCAATTTTTTTTTTATTATAGTGCCATTCGATAGTACACGTCAAGCTTTCTCGGTGGTTGAAATATTTGCACTTATTTCAATGCCACCCTGTATATGGTCTTTGTTGATTAGTGGTTTATAAATTGACTAAAACTACCTTGGTAGTAGAAACCCCCTTTACGCCTCAAAAATGACTGAATAATGGTAGGTTCTAGAGCTAGTGGTGGAAAAAACTTATTATACAAGAACTTGAATTTTTCATTTCTCATATGATTTGGTCAAAGAACACTGACACATACTCAAGAAGTATAAATGCCTATGAAATAACACCACTCAAGACCCCTTTCTAACCTCAAATTTTATTTTGATCCCTAATTTTTTTTATTAGAGCCTGTATTTGAGGAGGGTAAAAGGAAGAGAACATAGAGAAAACATTAATTCGATGATGGGAGAACCTTTGCTGGAGCTTTCCTTGGAAGACAACCAGAGACTTTTTTGAGAGTTTATAGTCTGGTTTGGTGGCGATTCAAACTATAACACGTCCTGTAGCACTGAGATATATCATGCAAAATGGTATGGAGTAAGCAAATAATTCAGTTCTTCAGAAAGTTTGCTACCTTTTCTTGTGATCCTTTCAACTCTAGTGAGCCTTTATCATTTCTTGATTGTTCAGAACTTCCAAGCTATAGGGTGCTAGAATTTTAAGAAAAAAATCGTTTTCTCATCATAACTTCAATACTGGTCTAGATATTTTCATATTTGACATGCAACACGTGGTAGTTTGTAAGATGTGTTTTTGTCTAATTTTTATTCAAGTAAAGTCAATTGATTGAATGAGTCAAAATGGTTTTTATTTTTTTACACAAAAACGGTCTGACGGAATAAATTTAAAAGAATTGTTGCATAATGAATTGGGATTCCAATAATGCTTTTTATCTTTGGGAAAGGCCAGGGCGTATCATATTTTTTTAGGAAAAATCTCTTGTATACATCCCATACGGACGCCACTTAATTTTTATTGAAAAATTGCCTGCACCAAAAAGTGCCTATCACTGCTCAGTAGCTGCATGTGAAATTTCATGAAAATATCTAGAACAGTATGGAAGTTATGATAAGAAAACGATTTTTATATTAAAAATGTTAACACAATATAGCTAGACAGTTAAGAGGTTTAGAGCATTTCTTCATATGAACTTTTCTTCTTGAGATGAGCTAAGGAACCATGTCCTTTACTTTTAGCCATGAATTAAATTACACCCAGTACATCTTATATACTATGCATTGAAACGCATATATATGGGGTTCATGGATATGCAAAAGTAGTAATTGAAACAATTGTTCCCATATTCCTTGGATCAGTTTCAAAAAATAAAAAAAAAACACCTCAAAGTTTTTTGTTTCAATACAATCTTTCATTCTCTATGTTTCTTGATTTTCTGGCTCCTTGGGATGCAAATTCCACCAGATCAGGTGGTCAATTTGTGAAGGTAAAGAGTTAAAGGCCTCATAGTAGTATAATAAATCATTAAAACATTCAAGGAGAGTAAAAGGAAGATATTATTTTTTGTTCCCAACCAAGACAGCATGAATATAAATTCATTGATATGATAAATTTTGAATATAATTTTTGCATGAAAATACATCGAATAGTATAATCATCATTTCAAAACTCACTACCATTTGCCATAAGTGATACTTGAAAGAAAAAAAATAATTCGGTGATAGATATTGAAAAGAATTAATAAATGATAATCCAAGTCTTCGCAAACCACTTCTGGGACGAACATTTTTTTTATATCTCTAAAATATAACGTTTGACGGAGGCTTGTATTCTAAGAGATGCACCAAAATAATAAGATCAGCAAGAATAATTACCACACCAGTCATGAAATCATGAATGCCACTATATTTTTCTTGCACTTAATTTCAATGAAAATCCCGGCGACCGAAAAAGCTAACAAAATATACTTGAATTAGCGAATGGCAATGAGCCCAGATTCCAGCAATTTTTGTATCTTCGCCGCTATATCTGGATTCTTGAGGTGGTCCTGTAATGCCCTGGGATCGTTCTGCATCTGCTCCAGGATCATTCTCATCGCAGGATCTCGAAGGATCGCCTGGACTTCCGGATCGGCCATGGCGCGCTGCCGGATCTTTTCCGGGTCGCCGTCCAAATTGGAGTTTTCGATGGTGCAAGCCCTGTAACCTGCAGAGAAAAGCATCAAGTGTTGTGTGAGACGTATTGCTAAAAGCGTACTCAATTGGTCACCAAGACGTAATAAGGTAATATGAAGAAGGAAAATATTATTTCTGTATGAAAAAGGATACTACTAGATCAAACTCGGCCTGAATGATCCTTTTTCCGGCAAATTATAGTTTTTGAAAAATTACTTGAGTGAAAAAAATAAAAAAAGTTGACGCCTTGCAGGGTTTGAACCCCAGCCACCACCGTGGTAGTCAGATACACAGACTATGGAGCTATGGTGATACTCGAAAGTTTTTACTATGAAGAAAGAAAAAATATCGTTTGTTCCTTGCCGAAATAGGGACGGGTTTATCCGCATTTCATTCGCAAATTGCTCATAAAAAAGCGTCTCTGGTACGTCCTGCAGCGATAACTAACTAAATACGGGATTACACACATTCAAGCTTTGGAAACACGTCTCGGTTTCAGCACTGGCGTGGAGACCCATTGCGTACGCTTTCAGAAATACGCTTGTGGGAGAAGTCACTGGTCACTGTGTGGATAGATCATTTTGGATATTTGAACAGCTCCTGTCCATTCAAAGATTTATTGAATACAAAATATATCCCAAAAAACTGTAATTCGGCAAGTACGTTGTCATCATCAATAGAAACCTTGATTATTAACACTAAGAAGATGATGCACCTCCATTTAATATGTTCAAGAAAGTTGGAGCCAAATTTGGCTCATGTTCTTGGCTGATTTGTAGGCGGTGCTAACGAAACTGAGGAAAATATGGACAATTTATCTAAACAAATCAAATCAAAAATTATTTTATTGTCTGAAGAGTGAAGAATGATAATTCCTGTTGATAAAGTGAAAAACAGAACAACATCAATAGCAATTTGAATATATGCATATTTTTCATACATAACTCGTTACATATTCAAAAATATATTAAAATTTACCATGTTATTCATTACACAAAATCTATACTCTCGAAATCTGCTAGAGGCCATCTATCTCCAAGTTCCTGAACTGTCTAGGAATATCATTCTTTCTGAAGCAAGAAAATCACTAACATTAATGTTCTGAAGGCTTTTAAATAATAAAAATATTTCAACTCGACCCTTCTGATATCTATCAAATTCTCTACTTCAGAAGATTTTGTTTTCAAATTCTTATCGTGTGTGTTCAATAGATGTAATTCAATATTCGTCGTGGCATATAGCCAGGAAAGTAGTTGATTTCTGTTGAATAAACCGAGAAAGAATTAATATTTTCATCACATGGAGAATGGGAATTCACAATGTATTTCTTTATATATATTATATATATCCATTTTTTTGTGTTCATTAATATATCTGAGAATATTCCTTTACAATGATGATATCCTGTTCATACCCAAAAGTTTGGAAATAAGGATTTAGTCCTAAATCTTGATCATCATAGACCCAATCATGAATAATGTAAATTATTTCTACACTGTTCAATTCTCTATTGTTTGTTGTTTGTTTAATAAGTTTTAAATTATCTGAAGTAATATGGTGGGCAAAACTTAATTGATAAAATCCATTATATTATCTGACATAAACAATAATTTCTTTGAATCTTGTGCCAATTTTTCGACGTCTTCGCCCAATATACCTCTCATATTACAGCCATTACAATTCATCACATAAATACCTGATTTATCATCAGTGTCAATTTTATGTTTAGAGTTGCCTAGAAGACTATCAATCCTTCAATTTCGCTTGCAGCTCATTTTTTGTTTGTAACCTTTCTGTTTTCTTTTCTCACCCCCTGATGATAATTCTAACAAAAAAAATAAAATCAAACAGCTGAAACCGACGACCATATAATATTAAATTATGGTGTGGCAAGGCCAAGCGAGAGAGTGGAATTGAAAACAACATGTGTGTTCAATGAAGAAAGATGCTGGATGGAAACCTGATTTTATTTTCATCTTTCTTATTCTCAGAACATAGAAATAAATTCAACACATTGAAATGTTGAATCCAACATCGCATCTAAAAAAGGATGGCAGGAAGGAACCAACTGATGGTTGGATGATTTTGTTGTGCATACAGTTATATCAATGTTCCTCTCATTTTTTATACAACTTTGAATGCATTTTATTTTTTATTAATTGACTGTGTTACTTGATGGAAATCCACGGCAAATATAAAAACTTTACAAACGTTAAGATTCCCACAAAATTCTCAAACACCACATGTTTCACTAACACAGTATCTTCGTCAAGTGATATACTGGTATGATGAACTAAACTAACCTTGGCTTACTTATAAGTGCATTTGAGAATTTTGTGGAAATCTTATCATTTGCGAAGTTTTTACATTTGACTTTCAATGCCATGTGGTTCCAGTACAGCCAACTCATCAACATAAGATCATTTGGAATCAGACTGAATTCATCACATTTCAAAAGGTGAATGTGCCTGGAGCAGCTGACAAAATTGGTAGTTCAGATCGAATAGTTCGCATGCACGATGACCGACCCTGGAGGTAAAATATTGAGACACAACCTCACTTTTTTTCTTTGTTTACAGAGGAATCAAAGGATTGAAATAGATTTTCAGAATATTTTGGCATATGAATCGTGTTTCTTGCTCTATTCATTAATTCAAGCATGTCTTCTAATTGTGCTGTTGTACAATACACAAAAAAATGCAGCGAGACGAAGGGATACGATTTTTCAGGTAAATATCAATCTCACATAGTTTTCATTATGGAATTTTGCCATTTTTTATTGAATTTCCTTCTGCCACTTCTGCAAGAGAATCTAATACTGCTAATAGATTGAAAATGTCTACAACACACACAATCATATTTCGTCAGCATGTCAGACCAGTCCTCCCGTTTGATGCATGAATCCCATCTTCCTGCATTCTTTTAGAAATTTCACGAGTATCTCTAATAGCTCCTATTGCAAAAGGAATTCAGATGAGAAATTACCAATTTTTAAAATGAAAACTATAAATGTGAGTGTCTATAGTAGGTACTTACTTTTAAATCATATTGTACCAACCGGATTCTTTCGTCTTGCTGCATTTTTTGTGCATTGTACCTACAACAGCACAATGTGATGGCATGCGTGAATTATTGAATAGCCAAAAAACACGATTCATATGCCAAAATAATTGTAAAAACTATTCCAATAATTTGCAAACAAATAAGAAAAGTGAGGTTGTGTTTCAATGTTTCACCTCCAGGGTCGGTCATCTGAGACAGTTCTTGCAAAAAAACAATAATATTTACTATTTTATTTTGATATATCTTTGTCCCCAGTGGGATTTCGGAATTCTGACGCCTATGATATCGGGTACCTACCACCTAAGTCAATTTCCATAGACTTCTTGGGATGATTTATGTTCTGTTGATTTTTCCTTGGCAAGCTGGTATGTTCCAAAGACGTCGACCCATACACAATGACTTCACACAATCTGTATAAATACAACTAATACTAACCAGCCAGAGCTTCTGCATTATTCGGGTCGACCTCCAAGGCTTTTTGAAACGCAGTAATTGCTTTACTGGACTGCTGCATCCCTTGTAGAATATGCCCCTTCCTGATCCAACCTTTGATGAACTTCGGATCCAATTCCGTGCACTTGTCACAGTCTTTCAGTCCCAAGTCAAAAGCGGCCAATTTGGTGTAGCAAGCAGCACGATTGCTGTAGATCTTGGCGTCCTCTGGATTGCGTCTGATAGCTTCCGAGTAGTGCTTCACGGCTGTGGCGTAGTCGCCTTTCTTGAAATATTCATTACCTGAAATGGGATGCTCAATTTCAATTTTCCTTCTGTTGTTATAAATAACAAAATACATAAGACCAAGAGATGGTATCAAGCCTTGGAAGACATTTTCAATACATTCCGCCACTGGGGTCATTGACTAAATTCAAGTTTCTAACTACCAACGTTAGCAAGGCATAACCTACTATCTGCTATTACCATGAGACAGAAGCTCATCCCATTGAACTAGATCCCATGGAGTTATAATATTTTATTATAATTTTTTTATGAAAAACAATTTTGCAATTATTATTGTTTTGATTTATTATGTTATATGTATGTTTTGTTGTATATGTCCCTATTATGAACAATAATGTTTCTTGGGGTAATAAAGACAATCAATCAATTTATATATCAAGGGCAGTGTTGCCAATTCAGCGGATTTTACACTAGAACTGGTGGTTTTAGTTTTCGTTTTGTGACAAAATATGTCATCTAGTGGATTAAGTGGATGGTGTTTATTTTGGTGAATATTTTCAAATAAATGGTAGTTGAGGAACTGCATCCAAAATTTCCCTTGTTTTATGAAAAAAAAATCAAATTTTAACAAGGTTAAACTAGAGATGAGTTTTTAGAGGAATACGGATTTCTACTGAAATCACTGTCCACTGTTATATCCACATTTTGGCTGTTTTTTGTAGTTATGAAGCATTTGTTTTGTTCGTTGAAAAAAAAAAACATTCCACATTCATTTATATATCGTTAAGCCAAGATCCGTTGAACAGCTAGACTTCCATTATATCTAGTGTAATCTAGTGATCTAAACTGAAGTTAAAACCACCAGAAAATCACTAGATTTGCAGAAATTTTCACCTGCGGTGCTTTTTTTTTCTATTCTGTCAGGATTTGTGTATTTTTGGTTTTTTTCAGGTGGCCATTCTGGGACTTTTGATAATCTGAGTTGGCAACAAGGGAGGAAAGGTATCCATTTCCTCCCGCGTCTGAAGTTTGATGCACGACGCGTTGCGGAGGGCATTAAACACACATGGGAGAAAATGAACCTTTCTCTCAAATTAATAGATTATATCTAAAACTCCAAGGGAATTTTTGATTATCATACAGAAAATGGAATATTAGACTAACAGTTTCTGATGCCAAATATTTCTTACCTAATTCCTTCTCTTTTTCAGCTAATTCTGGGTTAATGTATGACTTCTGTTCCTCCTCTCTGAGCAATTTCTCTACTTCCGAGAGCAAAGTTTTAATCTCAGGAGTCCTATGTTCGGACATGGACTTTTCATAAAACATCTTGGCATTCTTGAAGTCTCTTAATTTTCTATACGCATTCCCGATCCTCATAAAAGATTTTGCTATCAGCTTAAAGTCTGCTCTATTCTCTCTCCCTATTTCTATTCCCTTTTCACATTCCTTAATGCATGCCTCGTACTCCTTCTGTTCAAAGTAAACTGCTGCTAGGTTATTATAAAAAGTGATGTCTGTTGGATCGTGTTCAATTGCTTTGGAATAGTGAACAATGGCATTAGCAAAATCTTTCTTTTTATAAGCAGCATTGCCTTGATCCTTTTCGCCTTTGGCTAATCTTTTATTTTCAGGGAGCTCTGGTTCAGGTTCTTTTTTCGGTTCCGGTTTTGGTTGCTCTTTCTTAGGAGGAGGTGTGTACACAGGTTCCGTGTCCATAGGCTCGTCGGCACCAGCGTCGATACCTATCAGAACACTCAGTGTTGTGAGAACTCTGGGGTCTTGGAGTTTGCTACCCAGCGACTGGGGGTTCATTTGGAGCTGTGCGAGGAGAGCTAGGTAATCAGGATCATCGAGATAAGCCCGTGTTCTTGGATCTGCTCTCAGTTTTGGAATGACATCGGCACCGGAGAAGGGGTTGGGGAACGATTTTGAAGACTTTTCTTTTTGTGCCTTCACCTGCAGACATATAAATTTCCCATAAAAGTTATTACTGGCATTAATCTTCTTTCAACTATGCTAATCATCTTCTACCTTCGGAGGAATAAAATAGTAGATTTTTTATTTATGGACCGATTTTGACAAACTTTTCTTTGAATTGTGGAGACGGAAGAGGTGTATTTTGAAGATGAGTGGTGTCCTATTATAGACTACAGAAGATGAACTAGAATTTAGTAATCTATGTCTGTACCAATTTTCATGAAAAAATATTCAACATTAAAGATTCTATGACTAACTTCCTGACAAATTGTTTATCATGCATTGAGAATCTTTTTATGTTGTAATATTCATAATAGTAGGCTTTACAATTACTAAAGTCACAGATGACTGGAAATTAATGCAGTTTCCTCCCAGATCTTTCGACTTGACTCCCCAAAGAGGGTTTAACAAAGAACAAATTCAAAAATTCAGAATCTGAAATCAATTCATGAGTGTTGATTCAATATTCTTTTAGAAGAATGTCTTTAGTATTATCGGAATATCTTTATAAGAATGTCTATTAATTGTTGTTATCAAATAAAGTTGCAGTTTAATCATTTTCACAAAATAGTTATTTCATAAAATTGTTAGTGTTGAATATTATTTTATGAAACTTGGTACAAATCTATTTCAGAGTACGTCGATTCCACTGGCGTAAGTATTTTTTTAATAGCTACTATGAATTCTGGATTATTCAGCCTCTGAATGTGATCTAGTAGGCCTTGGTTTTTACAGGAAGTGGACACCACTTAGATCGAAAAAACACCTTTTCCCCTCCACATTTAAAGAAAAAGTCAAAATCGCTACATAAATAAAATATTTAGGAGAGTGGTCCGCTTTCAAATGGGTCACTCTGTATATCTTCGAAAAAACCATAACACAACGTAACTCTTCAATTGCAATATAATAACCCATAATAATTGATAACTGACCACTGGAAGATAATATGGGTAGTCGCCACGTGGAATGTAATAATTGTACAGAAGATTAAAAATAGAAAAAAGTGCTGGGGAACCAGTAGGCGTTTATTTTATCATGCTTAGTAGGCTAGATCATCTTGCTTATGATCTAGCCTAATAAGCAAGATGATCTAGCCTAACAAGCAAGATGATCTAGCCTAATAAGCAAGATGAAAAAAAAACGCATACTTGCCCTCCAGCGCTTCCGTAAAAAAACGTATATATTGTCCGAACCCAAATAAATGACACATTTCATATTCATCCTTTCATTTTCAAAATTTTACACAAACATGTTTGTCTACTGAAAAGGAGCCTTCTGGAGTGAATTGTCTTGTTGAATATGAAGATCGATTTTGTCGCAGGCATTTTTGAAATTTCTACACATTGTATGAACGGGGGAATTTGTTTTGTTTGTTCTTGGATCTTGGTGTTTTGAGATAGAAACATGATTCGTTCCTGTTGCTCATACGAGGTACAAGAAAATTAAGCCGAGACGAGAAAATTAAATTAAATTTACCAATAAGTAATTCCGGATTCAAAAAAATTCTCCAAGCATAAAACAGATGGAATAATTCAAAAATATATATAAATATCCAAATTTCGATATATAGGGTGGTCCGTTTTTTAATACAGAAAATTCAACAGCGTATAGTACTCCTTGAAATAATAATAAATTTTTCTTGAAGGTATACTTTTAAACGCTTCGTTTTCGAATTATAGGGAGTTTAAACTTCTTTAAATAATAAATTTAATAAATTTTTTATTGATCTCCGAAAAAAGCTATAACCAATTGTGATGAAATTCACATCGATTGTGGAAATATCAATGAGGTATTTTTTGGACCTATTACAGTTAATGAAGTATTTCCAGGCGAGTGCCCACGGGGCAAGTCTATACGTTTTTTGAAAAAATAAAAATTGCAAAAGTAGTTTTTCTCAAATGATTGACATTTTTCTGATTGAAGCATCACAAAATATAACTTATTCGCCCTATTAGATTTCTTCTTATAAAGCATCGTTTCAGAAGTAAAATAAAAAACCAAACCAATGCATGACTCTGAAGTCTGAACCCAATGAAAGAAACATTGTAATGCATTAAATTCAGTTAGCATTGACCACTTATCACGAGGTTTATCAAACCAATCATGTAACCATTACAAATCAATCATTTACGTATTAGAAGAGCCACTACAGGCCATAGTTGTATTTTGAGATGATTCAATCAGAAAAATATTAAACATTTGAAAAAAACTACTTTCTGCTTTTTTGCATAAAACTTATAGGCTTCCCCCGTGGGCAGGCCCCTGAAAATACATTATTGATTGTAATAGGCCCAAAAAATACCTCATTGATATTTCCACAATAGATGTGAGTTTCATCACAATCGCTTATGGCGATTTTGAAAAATCAATAAAAAATCGATTTTTTAAAGAAACTTAAACACCCTATATCTCGAAAACGAAGCGTTTAAATGTATATGTTCATAGGTAGTTTTCTGAAATTTCAACGAGTACTATACGTTGTTAAATTTTCTGTATTTAAAAAAGGAACACCCTGTTATATCGGATATATATCGGTATACCGGGTGTCCTAGTGTACCTGTTCCAATGAATTATATCAGCCATTTCGAAAAATAATGATTCCAAAATTTCATGATCTCCAATTCGTTCAAGGAAGCTTCACTGAGAAAAACAAAAATTCACTTCCGGTTTGACCGGCGGCGGTTTTTACTTGCGGACAACGCGGACAACCAATCAGTGACAATTGACACTACTGCCTGTGTGAACGAGATTGTGTTTTTATTTATTTCAAATTAATATGCAATTAATGATATTCTTCTGAACATGGTGATTATAATAATATGAAGATTTGAATAATGTCGAATATCAGGGAAATATTGATTGCAATATGTGTATAATTTTTCATTCATTTAATGAGCATTCAGAAGGAAGCGGATGTCCATTTTGTAAAACGGATTATTCTTGACATTTCAATGTACTTTATTAATCAATCATTTGTTTATTACCTAGGACCTTAGTTAATATGTTTCTAGTATTCTCGGGGATTTTATTTCAAAATTTCTCATTTACTAAGTTCTAACTTCGGTTCTAACTGGTTTTCTGACATGGAAATACGAATTTGCAACTTATTTTGTGATTGCTCATAGAAGGCATTAGTGGCAATCTGTTACTTAGATAAATTACATCATATCTTCTTTGTCCTTTAAATAATAATCAAAATAAGTAAAAAATCTGAGTCTGATAAATTCTACATAAAAAATGTACTTTTTTTTACATTGTCTAAAGATTTTTGCTTTACTCGCTCTTGCAGAGATTCATGTTTCTTATAACATTTTAATAATTCTGAATTATGAAGTTAGCAAAGTGACTGTGGAAAATAAAAGACAGTAATCAACAGACTATCACTAACAACGCCAACAATAAACAGAATTTCAAAGTAAATGTCTGACCTAAGTTACAGAAAAATTTAAAATAGAATTTTTTTTAGTATCTGCAACATTTATAAAAGGCATGTTTGGTGAAATCTCCATATTTTGGTATTCACTATCTGTAGTTCAGAGACTTCCCATTCTTAATGAATCACCCTGTATAGAGTTGGCTTTGTTACCCAGGACAGTTTCTTTATCTTCCCTGAATAATCATGTCTTGGCATAGCAGTGGAGAAATTATAAATTAAGGAGTTCAATTAACAATTGCAGCTGGAACAGCAGCATCAACTGCTTCTACAGCAGCTGAGTTTATGAATTGAAATTAACATGTCTGTAGCCACTTTGTGATTGTTATTCATTCCATTGATGCATTCCATGTTATATAGATGACAGATGACCCCCAATCACACTAGGCCACCATGCAAGAGCAATGTAGGACATTTCCATCATTGACAAACAATTTAAGGAGAGCCACAATATGTGGATTGTCGCAACAGGATTTGATATCATGTTCTAAATCTTAATTGAAGGCACCTTGGTCATTTCAGATTCAAAAAAACCATATGACCAGTAGTTATCCTGTGAGGCTGTGAATAGGGCAAGGGTAGGTGACGTCACATGACAGCTGTCTTTAGCTGTCAATCAGCCTGCTGGGCAAACAAACCATATTTCCATAAACAACAATGATAATTTAATGATATTATAGTTGGAATTCTGAGGAAATTATAGGTTTTTACCTAAAGGAAGGGAACATAATGTATATTGATATAATTTTTCTACTTGCTTGCAAAAATACTGTTTGTAAGATGGCTGATAAAAATTATTATTTCAATACATTGTCTATGGATCTCCAGAAGAGATATTTAGATGAGCTGAAAGAAACCAATGGATGTGATCCCTATATATTGAAATTGGGTGATTGTAGTGATGCTGTGAAGGACTTTCCTGAAATTTCAATGTATGACATAAACTATTTTGTATTTAAGAAGAGTGCATACACAAAAAATGATTCAATGCACTTGACATGCCTGAAATGAAAAAATATTTTCAATTTTCATGATGACTATGCTTCCTAGATTCTCAACATACTTCATATGAAATATTTTGAACATACTGTTGCCCATTTCAACTTCTCAGTAGTTAAATTTGTACTTTTAATTGCCTGAATCCACAATTCACGTCTCTTTTCAGCAAGGGGATTAATATGTTACCTATTATCAAAATTCAAAGGAAATGGATGGAAAGAGACCTTATCTCTGCGGCTTCTACTTCCACATTTCACAATTGCACAAAATTGAGGCATAATGAAGAAAAAATATTTCAAAATATGACATAAATGCACAATAAGCATTTGTGGATTTATTTGTTTGTCCAGCAAGCTGGATTGACGGTAAAAGTGCACTTATCATGCGATGGGGTTTTTTTCGAAATTTTTTTTTGGTACTTACGTATTTTCGTCTGAAAAACACGAATTTCATAATGAAAATGTGAACAAACCATTATTTATTAAGATATTTCACTATAAAGTTACAAATTTCACCATCTTTTCCGCCTGTATTCTGGATCACATTTAGAACAATTTGCCCTTCTTTTTCCATCATTGGACAATTTATATATATCACAAAATGTTGGACACATTTTTTTTATTATTTGAGTCAACTAGAAATATGATTTTCTTGTGATTTATCCATGTTTAGTGAAAAGAAGGAAGAATATCATTTGAAATAATGGCGTGTGTAATGTCATTCCAAAGCAATCTATTGACATTTGACATCTCGTATTTGGATTGCCTATGGATTAAATGGCCGTCATCTGGTATGCTTGCTCACTAAATAGGAAAAACTCGCCATAAAAATCATATTTCCTGTTGAATTTTCTATCTTAAAATAGTGGTATTCTTTCATTCTGAACTAACTGACACATTTCACATGAACTGAACTGAATCAGTTGACATGCATTTTACATAATGAACGTCATTCGAAAGAACGATTCAGTTCAGTTCTAGTGAAATATTTCAGTTAGTTCAGATTGAAAGAATATTACTAATGTGTCAGTGAAGTACATCATGAGTATATAAAGTGTCCAATGACAAATAATAAGAGCAAGTACCTGTAAATGCATCCAACACAAGGGGGAAAAGAAGGCCAAATTTCGATCTTTTTCTTGAAATATCTCGATAAATAGTGGTTTGTTCACATTTTCATTATGAAATTCGTGTTTTTCAGACGAAAATACATAAGTACCAAAAAAATTTTTCGCAAAAAACCCCATCACATGATAAGTGCACTTTTACCGGATTGACATCTGTCATTTACTGTCATCTGGCAGCTAAGTAGTCTTACAATTTCATAGATTATGAATGTTGCCTGTCAATAAATTTACACAACAGGCTAACATCACCAGTTGGTGAACATGAGGTCAACATGTCAAAAATCCCAAAATTTTGCAGGATAGCCCCAAAAGCTATGGCATGTTTTATGGAAAATATTCAAAAAAAAAGGTGGAGAATATTTGAATAAATAGAAAACCTCAAGTTATCAAAAGGAGTGAGCTGTCCTACATTTTTTTACTCTCAATGTGGAACTTTATGACCAATTCTTAAATTGAGGAAGAAGAATATATCATAGCAAAAGGCCAAATGATATGAAAATAAGAAGTATATTTATCAGTATCATTCAATTTTGTGTACAATACATGAATAATCACCCTTGCAGAATTTTTCTTACCTCTTTTAAGCCTTCTTGTACCTGGGAATTAGTTGGGTCTATTTCTAGACCCTTTTCATAAGTAGCTATAGCATCATCAGTTCTTCCTAGATATGCCAATGCTGTTCCTTTTCTAGAATATGCTTTGGACCAATCTGGTTTAATTTCCACTGCTTTTTCGGCATCTTGTAAAGCTAGATCATACTGATTACTTTTGGCATAGGCAGCTGACCTATTGGAATATAAAACTGCATTACTAGGATCTAAATTTATGGCCTCTGAGTAATGATTAATGGCATCTACGATCTTGTTTGCAGCTAGAGCGGCATTTCCCTTATCTTTCAATACAGCAACCTAAAATTAAAATGAATGTTCATGTATTTTCTAGTTCAGGACACGTTTTTTATTTTGTTGAAAAGTATGAGCTGAATATTATTTATAATTCAATATTGTTCTCACCTTGTCCATTTTCGCCGAACTTTTGTTTCACGGCAATTAAAAATTGTTTAAAAACTAATATATGACTTCAGCAGACTTCTAGAAAATTCCAAAGAATTTAAAGGAAGTTACTTTTCATTTCCAGCACCTGTCAAATTATAACAAATGTCAAAGTCAATCAATTCTACTCTGCCGTTGCCCGTGTCAATGTCCGATTAGAGAAGATGCCGATTGCCGATGTGGTACGGTATGGGTACGGTACGGACGAAACACCCGATGAACAAAAAAATACGAGAATTTGTGAATCATTAACATTTTGACAAGAGGCCACGATATTATGAGAAAAATAATAAGAAGAAGTAGGAATTAGGTTAGGTTCTTCAAAGATATTTTTAATTCCTTGTTTTTATTAGTTTTTTAAATTTAGATGTTTTTTTTAAGATATTATGTTAGTTACTAGAACGTTGGTTCATAAAAATTTCTCAAAAAAAACATTTTTTTCATCAACTTCAAAACATTTTCTAACAAGTCAACATTTTGTGAGAGATACTGGAATTCGATCTTTAAATAGGTGTAGCAATATGGGTGTGAAATTAAGAGATATTATAAACAGATTGAATGTTATGGCTCCTTTAAAATTGGCAGAAAGTTGGGACAATGTAGGAGTGTTAGTTGAACCAGATAGTGATAAAATAATAGAAACCATTTTACTTACCATTGATCTTACTGAAGATGTCCTGGAAGAAGCCATTGAAAATAAAGCACAGCTCATCATCTCCTATCACCCTAATATTTTTAAATCCTTAAAAACTGTCTCACAAAAGTTAGTAACTTTTAAATATTGAAACTAATGGTCAATGGAGGTCCAATGCATGTAGTAGTAGTAGACAAAAAATGATTATGAAACTTATTTCAGCCACTGGAAGGAAAGGATCATAATCAAATGCATTAGGAATGGTATAGCAGTCTTCAGCCCTCATACTTCTTGGGATTCAGTAGAAGGAGGGGTCAATGACTGGCTTGGTTCAGCTTTCCAAACCCAATCTAGTAAAGCTATACTCAAAAATAAAGAATATCCAGATTCAAACATTGGGGCAGGCAGACTGTTGTCTTTAGCTGCACCTATAACATTTAGGAAAGCAATTGATGATGTTAAAGAGCATATTGGTCTGTCACATTTAAGGATAGGTGTTTCTAGACATAAGGATTTGGGTAAAATTCAATCATTCATATCCTCTGGAGAATATGCTTAATTTTGTATTTTAGATAGTTTAATTTCAACAGTAGCCCTCTGTGCTGGCTCAGGCACTTCTGTACTGAATGGGGTACAAGCAGACTTGTACTTGACAGGAGAAATGATGCATCATGACGTTTTGGAAGCTACTCAGAATGGGATTCATGTCATTTTATGCAATCACAGTGATTCAGAAAGAGGATATCTTGAGCATTTCCAAGAAAAGCTGATTAAAAGTGAAAATATAAATGTAATGGTTTCAAAAGTAGATAGAGATTGTTTAACAATTGTATGAATTACCAAGTACTGAATAAAGTAGAGAGCATACTGCATACCAAACAATATCATCTCTGTATTTTTAATTTCTTGGGTTCACATGTACTGAAATTTCAAATATTAGAACAAGACATTTGGATTGACATTGACTAGTTGTGAAAATCTATACACCTTGAAGACACCAATAATTGGAAACAAATAAAGAAGTATACTTTTGCTATAGAATTCTTATAATGTTGAATATTACTAATATATTCTCAAATTTTATGACTGTACCTCTACCTATAATAGATAGCTTATAAGTTCAAAATCTGTGTGGTCTCAATGGTTTTTCAACATCAAACAACTCAGGATCTTGTAAGAAAACTGGCTCCTTGAGGTAAGTAGCCATTAATCCTGCACTTTGAGCTTTAACAATTTCCTTTTCAAGCTTATCTTGCTGTTTGGCACAAAGACCAGTAATGTGTTTTCCATAAATTCTGCCAGTATATGGAGATTGGAACTGTGATAATAATCTCACATTTTTATAATCTACTTGGATATTTTGTTTGCACAAAATGCACTGCTGTTTGTCTTTCTCGAATGGGTTCTCCATATTGAAGTCAGGAGCGTCTGTGGAACATAACTTTCGGAGAGAATTATTACCTGAAAATGAGAAGAAAGCGTGGAAGTGGAACAGCAGTTGAATGAAAATTTACTAACTTATGATGGAATAAGAGGGAACTCTGCGTAGTAAACTATTCATCTTCAAAAGTTCAAAATGAGAATTTTATGTTGCAAAGCACAGTTTCAGGTTTTTTTCTTCTTCTTCTTCTTCTAGTGGTTGTGGTTATTATTCTACCTAGTAATCAGTTCTTCTTGGTTCAGTTCACATTATCGAATCTACCCAGTAAAACGGTAACGGTCGTTTGTGATTTTCGCGTATTGCGCGTCATGCACTCTGATCGGTGACGATAAATTCAGAAGATATTTGGCGCGATAAAGTCATTGTTTTATTTGAACTTTTTGGCGTTATCATTTCCAAATGGATAAACTATAAGTAGGCGAGAGTTATCTAATCGCCCAAGGAAAGGTGGATATTCATCAGGGCCAAGGTCTATATCGTACGAAAGCTCAGGAGTGCCAGTGGAAAAAAAAAATAAAAAGTCGAATTTCCGACTTACTAATTCGAAATTTCGTCTAAGCTCACAGCCACAGAATGGTATTCTGTGTACTTAGTATCTCTTCATTATTTAGAGCGAGTTGGAAATATGTCCTCATTTTCGAAATCGTTACATTCATATACAGGGTTGTCCCGAAATTAGCCAACCAAACTTCACCAGCGGCTTTTACTACCAAAAATAGAAAGAAAACTGTCAATGAACATGGGACGAGAAATTTCTATGCCCAATGCGGTGTAAATAAAATCATTTCAAAATTTCAATCAGGAGTGTATAATACAGGGTGGCAGGACCGTCTTTCACCTATTAGAGGCCCTGGGCACATTAGAATAATGGGGCCCCTATGACCATAATAAAGTACTACATATTTTGTTAGAATATACAAATAACGTAGAAATGCAAAGTTTCAGCTTTATTTTTATTTCTTTACAGTTACATTGGATATGATCAGTCGAGTAGTGTTGCCAGCCAAATACTCCGGATTGTTCCGTAAATCTGTGGATTTTTGTATTGTCTCCAGATATCCGGTTCCACTTCTATTTTTTTTTCCACTTCTTTTCAAGTAAATTATTATTGCGAAAGGCAATTGAAATAAAAAATTATATTGAAATTTATTAAACATGCTGCATTCGGTAAGCCTGATTTTCAGGCGAGAGTAGAGTACCTAGCTATCGGGACTAGGGGGCCCCAATCCTCGCGGGGCCCTAGGCACGTGCCCAGTGTGCCCAGTGGGGAAGAGGGGCCTGCAGGGTGGGACTATATTAAATATAATGCTCCAAATTTTTTGTTTGCATATTTTTCGACAATTCAATCTCGGATTATGAAACTTCACACCTCTTTACAGAAAAAAGGTACTCTTGTTCCGATGTTCCGTGACGATCAGATGTATTATCGTTATCGAGTTAAAGCAATTTAAGGATATTGTTACATCTCCGATTTTATGCATACCATTGCAACGAGGCAATAGTGGAAATGGAAAAAAATGCACAAGAATTGAAGTAGTTTTTTCATCATCATTTAACTATTTTTCGCGCTTTTTTGAGATTGTTTGGTATAAGAAGGAAGTACTTGATTCTTTTATAGCCACTATATGATTTGATAATTGGCAACGTTATGAATAAGATGTGAATGCATCAATATTTTTGAATCGATTTCACTACAAAATGATACATCTGATAAATGCGGAACGAGAGCACCTATTTTTGTGAAATGGTGTGGATTTTTATAATTCCGAGACTAAAATATCAAAAAATATGCATATGAAAAAGTTTAAGCAATATTTAATGTAGTCTCACCTTGTATTTTACACTCCTGAATGAAACTCTGAAATGATTTTATGTTCAACGTATTGGACATGGAAAGTTTAGTTCTTGTACCAAATTGCATCATTTTATCACGTGGCGTTTCGGAAATATTAAAGAAATATAATCTTCAGCAGCCCTCTTTCAGGGGGCCATATAGCTCCCTATAGGAGACATTTCTCGTCTCATGTTCATTGGAACTTTTCTTCCTATTTTTGGTCAAAGAATCTGCTGGTGAAGTTTGGCAGGCTTATTCCGGAACACCCTGTATAATAGAGATCTGAGTTGAAAAACCAAGAAAACAGCTAGTGAACCAAAACTGGCATCCGTCGTGGGTACCTAGATCTAGATATCTTTTGTAATGGCCAAGAACCATCAATAACGCCGGTATCATATGACTTTTCATGAAAACTCGAAATTTCGAGATAACAATCATGTCGGAAATCCATGCAATTTAACTATGTCGAAATTTCGAGATGTTAAAAGTCGAAATTTTGACTTACTAATACGAAATTTCAACTTGCTAATACGAAATTTCGACTTCGTAAGACGAAATTTCGAGTTGGTAAGACGAAATTTCGACTTTCTAAGTCGAAATTTCGACTTTTTATTTTTTTCCATTGGCACTCCAGAGCTTTTGTAATATCGCCTACTTACTAGAGTGACAGAGGAAGCGATTAGTGAATTATTGTTATTCACTGCTATTAATCACTGGTGTGAAAAATGGCTACCGTTTTGCTTGAGGAAGTACATGTATTATGAATATTTTATGCAACAGTCGTGGATAAACCTACTATTTTGATGTTACTCGCTTATGTATTCTCTCCCGAAAATTTTTTTCACAAGAAAAGTTGTGAGAAAACATATATCTTAGAGCTTATAGGGGTGCAATATTTCAAACCCTTCTGAGGATATTTCCGAGTTGGAAACATTCCGGAATGTGTAATTCACAAAAAATATTCACCAAGTTCGCGTGGTTTGCTCAATATACAGGGAAAATAAAAAAGGAAAAAATTTTTTTTATCTTCAAAAGGGTGTAACTTTTCAAGGTAGAGGTTTCGAAAAAATATATATACATACCAAATTCCCACCTTAATTTTCATCACAGAATCACTCCGTGACATTTCCGGTGTTATTTAGATACACCCTGTATATATAGCAGTTTGTTGTTATTAGACTTCTGTATATTAAAAATTGTAGACTCGAGTACATTTTTAGACTAGGTATAAAAATAAATGAATAATTTCTCAATAGGTAAGTATGGTAAACATCAATTCAAACAAATAATTTTGTGTACCTATAGGAAGTCTTATTTTGGATTGAGAGCTATATTGTAGAAAATACAATGCTCTCATTGTTTATTATTTCTTTGGCAATCAGGAAATCCCCATTCGTCAATATCCACATAGTTTTAATTGCATGGTTTATATCGGGATTCCAGGATATACTTAGTTAACATCAGTGCCGGATTTTTACTCACTTACGCCGGGGGCTAACTATTACGATGCCGCCGCGCCGCCGCCAAATAATAAATTTCAGTTGACAGTTTCAAAATTCAAAGTACCTACTCGTTCACTGCATTTATTTCACAGCATATGATGAAAACATGAAATTATCACGTATAACGAATCAGTTTTTATTCACACCACACCTTAAACCTAGAACAAATAATACATTATTAATAATATGCATAATTTTTTTTCAGATAAATACTTTTTTCTGCAACCGACACAAAAGTCGTCCATTTTGATTCCGAAATTAGCTCTTAAATTGACGTTGAATTTTATTTCCTAGGAGCTAAAGTTGAACTTTAGCTCCTAGGAACTAAAAAGGATGTACTGGGCTTCATCATGAATAAACAACATTGTGACGGTTGGTTATTTGGGTTGAGACGCATACCTGATTTGTTTCCGATTTCAGCAGATTTGGCATCATTTCATACCCATGCTGGAGATATAAATACACCTTATTATAGTTTAGTATTGGAATTATAAACATCTCAGTTAAGTATTTTTGTTTTGATCAGGGAAGCCTTCAAGATTCAAATACTTGCTTGATCTCTATTTCCTTCGTTATTCTCGGGATGGATAACTTGTTTTTGAATAATCACGGCAAGCAATAGTTTTTTGTCTCAAACAACGATATTGTTTAGCTTCATTTGATCATCAAGTCAAACACAGTGTAGTCTGAGGAGGAATAAATAATCACTATTATTTGCCATTAGAGCACCTGGTCCATAAACAAATATGTTCACTCTGTGGTTGTATTTATATTGACACTACATCATTGCATACATATGGCACGGCATTGGTGGTTACTTCACATGTTTATTCGAGTTAATTGTTTCGGTTGCAGAAAAAATAGCATGTTTCATTCGGATCAAAAGTGACTTTGTTCGACTCGCAAATTTTGCATTTGCGAGGCGGAGCGTCAAGCGAAGCCGAGCTTGTCAAACAAAGTGTCACTTTTGATCCTAATAAAACAATCTACTATTTTCTGCGACCTACACAAAAGTCGTCTATTATAATACCAAAATTAGCTCTTGAATTTACGTTTCTAATACTGACACGAACATAGGTATGTTGCTAGGCAACACATTTAGTTCCTAGGAGCTAAAGTTGAACTTTAGCTCCTAGGAACTAACAAAAGGATGTACTAGATGTCATCAAGAATAAACAACATTGTTACGGTTGGTTATTTGGGTTGGGGCGCATACCTGATTTGTTTCCGATTTCGGCAGATTTGGCATTTCATACCCATGCTGGAGATATAAATACACATATTATAGTCAAGTATTTTTGTTTTGATCAGGAAAGCCTTAAAGATTCACATACTTGCTCGATCTGTATTGTATTCGTTAATCTCAGGATGGATAACTTGTTTTTGAATAATCACGGCCAGCAATAGTTTTTTTGTCTCAAACAATGATATTGTTTACCTTCATTCGATTATCGAGTCAAACACAGTGGACTATGGAGAGAAATAAATAATTGCTAACATTATTGTTGATATGCTTACTAACCTAACAGTTTCCACGTCTTGTTGCTATAGCTGGCACTGGCGCGGTGTTTGCTATTAGAGCACCTGTGGTCCATACACAAATATGTCACTCTGTGGTTGTATTTATATATTGAAACTACAATTCGAACATCCTTGGAAATTGAATGAACCTGCACTCTGTGGTTGTATTTATAAGGGGAAGCTTTCGTGACTGTTCTATAATAATATTTTTGGAAATATTAGTGGGATGCAGTCTGGACCAATGAATTAATTAGATTTCTTCGTTATTTGTCGAGCTTTCGAAAATTTTTATTTTCTTTATCAAGACTAAAAAAACATGA